CCCCCCCCCCCCCCCCCCCCCCCCCCCCTTCTCTCTCGAACTTGATTGCTTGTCATCATCCGAGCAGGGCCTGCAAAAGTCCGACCGTGACCTTCCGATCGCCCCCGGTGTACTCATGGCTCCCGCTGCGGAGGAAGGCGGCGGGGCTGCTCTCGGCGTTGAGGACATGCCTGATGACATGCAGGTGCAGCGTGGCATGGCATAAAGGCTGACAAATCATGTTTCGCCGTCCGACTTGGTTGCTGATGGGTTTGACAGGTTTTGCTGTTTTGCTTTTGGCCATGTTGTGCGTATCGTACGCTACTTGTGACACGTTGTTCGATCCGCGTGGAATGCCTGTCGTGTAATGTAAAGGCTTTTTTTTCTCTGAGAACCTTCCGCCGTGGAGTGCTGCTGTAGACTGTAGGACCAACATCCGACATTTGTTTGCCGGACCAAAACCCTCGTCGCACGTTCGGACGAGCAAGGCGAAAAGAGACCGGTTCGGAAAAAGAGGTCGAGGCGGTGTTACATTCTCACCTTCTCAGGCAGAAAACAGACAACAGACAGCAGTGTGGTGGCTTCCCCCTCTCGCGCTGGCTGTTGGTTTGTTTCTGCAGGATTGCATGTTGTTGTGTTGTTGCCCGCCTTGCTGGCGTGCGCGTGCTCACGTCGTCGCTGCGGTTAAACGCGTCTCGCTCTGCAGGTGTGCTCGTGCAACAACGTGGACAAGGGTGCGATCTTCCGCGCCGTGACGGAGGACGGTCTCACCTCGGTCGGGGAGGTCAAGTCCTGCACCAAGGTGCGCGGGCGCTTGTGGGCATGTCACGTCATGTCATGTGTCATGTGTCATGTGTCATGTGTCATGTGTCATGTATGGTACGGTACGGAAGTGTAGGAACACCCCGGTGGGTCTTTTGTACATTGCTGTATCGTTGTGTTGTTCGTCTACATACTATGCCAACGACAACAACAGCAAGAACAACAGCCACAACCACCATCACAACGACACGTTCGTGCAAGGTACTCCAGGGGTGTGCTGCTATTCTTTTACATGTGTTTCTTTCCGCGTTCGTTCCTGTCCTGTCTGCGTCTCCCCTTGTCGCAGGCCGGCACCGGGTGTGGTGGGTGCGAGCCGATGGTGAAGGACATCTTCGCGTTCGCCATGAAGAGCTCCGGAAAGGAGGTCTCCACCGACGTGTGCGAGCACTTCCACTACACCCGCCAGGAACTCTACGACATCGTCCGGGTGAGATGGGCGTACTAGGCGTACAACGTACTGTATCTCGAACAAATACGAATCGCATGCATGCCATTGTGTGTAGTGCTGTAGTCCACCGATCAACAACGGTTGTTGCTACCGCTTTACGGTACATTTTTTTCTTTCGTACAATGTATGTTCGTTGCGAAACATGTCCTTTCACGCGCCTAGGCTACCGGAGTCAAGTCCTTCGACGAGCTGCTCGACAGCCACGGCCACGGTGACGGGTGCGAAGTGTGCAAGCCCCTCGTGTCCAGCATCCTCGCGTCGGTAAACAACGACATGATCTTCAACAACGACGGGATGACCCTTCAGGACACCAACGACCGCGCCCTCGCCAACATGCAGAGGGGTAAGAATAAATATGTAGCACAGCAGCACGCGGGGCGTTGACCCGACGTTGTCGCTCGACGCTGATTGACTTGACAGTTTTCACCTATTCGTATCTATCTTTAGTTTATCCGCTCTCAAAATCCACGAACCCCAGTACCAGTAGCTCAGGGTGGGTTGCACGCCAACATCAAAAATGGTGTTTCTCTCTCTCTTTGTCTTCCTTGTCTTTATCTCTCCCCTTCTCTTTCTCATGGCCGGGTTGTGCAACTGTCACGTACCTTACCTTCAACGTTGATTTCGACAAGAACCATCTGGTACTTGCCTGTGGTCGAAGAAGGCCGAAGGCTGCCTTGCCTTCTTCCCTTGTCCTTCATTTCCTGCCGGTATTACAGAGTTAGGGCAGATGTTTTTTTTTGTTGCTTCATTTTGATATATTTGCGCGACCGATACTGCACTGTTATTGTTTTCTTTTGGTTGTGTGTTGCCGGTGGTGTTGCGTGCAGGCGGTTCTTACTCGGTGATTCCGCGTGTCCCCGGCGGGGAACTCACTCCCGAGCAGCTCATCTGCATGGGACAGGTGAGGAGAGGGAAGGGACTACGACTGCCTACGGCAGGACTGCGCTGGCGTTGGCACCGAGTGCAGCAGGGGTGGAGGGTGTCTAGTCCAAGGCCGTAGACAAGACGGCTTTCTCTGTCTACGGTCGTTCGTAAAAATACAGCTACAGCTACAGGAGTAACTCATCGGTCGATGGCGGTACACTTGAATGCGTTTGTCTGTCGCCGATCTGTAGCTGGAGGAGGGGTATATCATGCCTCGTCCGTTGTCGTTGTAGAATAGAACATCGAACTTCGATTGCGCAGTCGGACAGGGCGTTTTGTGTTGGGAGCTGGGAGGGACATTCGTGCGCATGAGATGTCGAGCTGACCTATGTGTCTGCGACCCCCAAGATGAGCTGTTGTACGGCTTTTGTTCTACAAATTACCGGTGTTTGAGCAACTGGTTCCGAGGTACACGTATAAAGAATGGTAGAATTTACTTTCACGGTTTGGTCTGGTTCGCGTGGCTCTTGGAGTCTGAACACGTCAGTTGTGTACTTGTATGGGGGGGGGCGAACATTGTTTTGTCCAATGAACCAAGTGGAGCGTAAGGATGATTGGCATCGTCATTAACCCGCGTAAAACCGGTGGATCATTCTGTGTCGGAGCACTCCATCGTCTTGCTTTCGAAAAAACGAGCCTGAGTCACCGCTAGTCATTTGGTGTTTCCCTCTGAACGCTTCTTTTCCCCAAAACTATTTCTTTGTTTCAACAGGTGGCCAAGAAGTACAACCTCTACACGAAGGTCACCGGCGGGCAGCGGATCGACATGTTCGGCGCTGAGAAGCACCAGGTAACCCCAGCCACCCTACAGTACTGTCTGTAGAAGATGGAAGGAACTCCAAATCAGCATCGTGTTCACTCTTGTGCTGGGCGCGCGTGCCACACCTCACATCTCACATCTCACAGCGCTTTCTCTTTCATCGTAGGAGGTACCTCTTAATAGGATGTACCATAAGTAACGGTAAATGATACCCTCCAGAGTGGGGGAATCATGAGAACATCACAATGAGAGCACAGGCAGTGGCGGTGTCCACGATGGCGATAGGAATAGACAGGTCCAGCTCGCAGCCTAGCGGCCAGCTCCCGGTTGTGACGTTTGCCAAGCTCAACAGCTGACGTTTTTGTTGGCTCGAACCGCCCAACGAACTTCTACCAACAATATATTTATGTTGTGGTACTTCTAACGCACCTCGTATTGTCAAATGTATTGCCGTGCCGCCCCCGCCATTGGTCGAGCGGCAGCCTGAAAACGATATTCGCCCGCCGGCACAACTTGCGTGTCAGGACTGCAATCGTAGCGGGGATTCTGCACACCACCGAAGAACCATGAAACACTGAATACCCCCCCAAACCCTTTCTGTCTCTGTTGCTGTGGTGTGTTGACGTGGGACGCCGCCCTTCCTTGCAGCTGCCGTCGATCTGGGCCGAGCTTGGCGAGGCTGGGCTGGAGTCTGGCCACGCTTACGGCAAGGCCCTGAGAACGGTTAAGAGCTGCGTGGGGTCCACCTGGTGCCGATACGGCGTACAAGACGCTGTAAGCTTCGCCGTGCGGCTCGAGAACCGTTACAAGGGTGAGCTGTTGCCGTTGTTGCTCCTGCTGCTGCAGATGGCTGTTGCTGAGCTGCTTTTGGTCTGGTTGTTGCTGCAGGTGTGGTCGGTGCGCCTCTACACTCTTTTTTTTCCACAGCTGGGGAGAGTCAATTCCAGCTAGTAAAACTCGAATGGATACAAAAGCTACACGTTTGGCTGCAAGAAACATGATGTCCTGCAAGTTTACTTTTCTCTGTATGCAAACGTATGTGCTTTGTAAGCGTTTGTAATATTTTGTTCCTCCTGCATGTCGTCCTCACGTCAGCCCTCGACGTATCCCGCGCCCTCTGTCCCAGGTCTCCGGTCTCCTCACAAGCTCAAGTCGGGAGTGTCCGGGTGCGTGCGCGAGTGCGCCGAGGCCCAGGGCAAGGACTTCGGCCTCGTAGCCACTGAGAACGGCTACAACCTCTACGTCTGCGGCAACGGGGGTGCCGTGGCCAGGTCAGTAGGTGGAACTACTACTGCTGCTGCTGCAGTCTACCTGCTTGGAGAGTTAACGGCCTGCGGAAGGACCACTGTCTGCGTGTCCCCTGTTTTTTGGATGTGATAAGACTGCCCGTTTTCTGACTTGCCTGGTTCTCCAGCCATGCCTAGTTAATCTCACTGGGGATGGCGGCGGAAGACGTCTGCAATCTCCACGCCCGTTGTCGTTTTCCGGAGCTCAGGGCAGCAGAGGTTGCGAAATATCTCCCCTGAGCTTGCGAGATGGCTTATTGTAGTCTATGGTTTGGGTGGCTCTCGTGAACGGTCCCCTGGACGCCCTTCCTCGTTCCTTGCACTACATATGTATACATCACCCCCCACCAGGCACGCCGACTTGCTGGCGACGGACATCAGCGAGGAGCTTTGCATCAAGTACATCGACCGCTTCCTCATGTTCTACATCGCCACCGCCGACCGTCTCCAGCGTACGTCCGCGTGGATGGAGAAGCTCGAAGGAGGTGCGTGTTGTGTTGTCGTATAGTCTCGACCGACCAAGTGTCCCACCTGCCCGCCCGCCCGATCGCGCCTGATGCCCTTCCTCCGCTTGGAGATGTTCATGTTGCCGTTATCGGGACCGTTTCATCCCCTTCCCCCCTCCGGACTACTGCATGACAGGCATTGAGTACCTGAAGGAGGTCGTGATCAACGACAAGCTGGGCATCGCCGAGAAGCTTGACGCACAGATGCAGCACGTCGTGGACACCTACCAGGACGAGTGGGCTACCGTTGTCAACGTGAGACTCTGCTGCTGCATCAAAGAACCGAATACCCCTCGCTTCGCGAGATATGTAGTCTCTGTGGGCAATATTGTGCCGTCTCAGGTTTTGCTGTAGCCCCTGCTGCGTGCAACGTGGTTGATACCGCCGCCGTGGGTTCATGGCATGTTCGGTCTGGTTTTCGCCGTTTGGTTCCCTGGGTGTCTTCGCGTGGAACACGTCCGTCCCCGCGAAGAAGAGCCAGACGCGGCGACTTTTGGCGTCGATTACGCGCGCCACGGTTGGGTGGGTGGGGCGGTGGGTGCCTGGCGGCCCTCGGGCGTGAGCGGTGTTGTATGGTACTTCCTATTAGTATGAGCCTCCTGCGTGCCCGTTAGCAATAAGGAGGCGAGAAAAAATGCTTACAATGCTCACTGCTGCGCGAGGAAAGGAAGTTGTTCCGAACCACGAATACGAAATAGACGGAATGGTACATCGGGTACATCGGGTACATCGGGTCGGGTCGGAGTTGTACGAAACATGTTATATCACACGTGTGCCGTTTTTTTTTTTCGTTTTGTGCAATAAGGACGAGGAGCGGCGCAAGGCCTTCCGGCAGTTCGTCAACTCCGACCACACCGAGCGGGGGATACCGTTCATCGCGATGAGAGGACAGTCGCGACCCATGGACTGGCCCAAGGACGAGTTCATCCCCGACTTGCACGAGGAGGGGAGCAAGGTGTGTCACAGTTACAGCAGTCACGCAGTCCCCGTCACAGTCACAACATTTCACAACATTTCACAACATCTATCTGCCAACACGTCCCACCGCCTGCCCGTCCGCATCATCGAAGCGGAGGACGTTTCCACGAACAAGTATAGTAGGTACCTTTCCTTTCCTCTACATCGACACCGACGACAGAGGCGATGGCGTCCACGAGATAGTGATTTGATGTTGATCACTCGTACCTCGGACGCACTTGCACGGCCGCCTACTGTAGGTGTCCATCTAGGCGATTTGCCGTTCACCTAGCGTTAGTTACATAACTACTTTAGTCTATTTCTATGCATAGCTTATTTTTCATTTTTTCCACACTCAACTCTATTCTTGTTTCCTCCCCACACTCGAGAACTACTACCACGCTCGTGCGCCCCGTCCTCTGGGCAGAGCACACATGGGACCCCCGAATACACGTCGCTCTCCACGTGCGTACTGTAGCAGTAACGTTCCGAGCACAATGAAGAAATCCTTAGTATGCAACCCCGCTTTTCTGTTCGGCGGTTTCGCCCGCAGCCTGACCAAGTCCTGACGGGGGCATCCTCCTGGGTGCGAGTGGGGTCCGTGTCTGATTTCCCCACCAACGGCGGGGCCGCTGTGCTCTACGGAAAGAGCCAGCTCGCTGTGTACAACGTGGCGCGGAGAAATGTGAGCTTAGAGCTTAAAGCTTCAAGCTTTAAGCTTGAAGGTTGGAGCTTAAAGCTTGAAGGTTGGAGCTTGAAGGTTGGAGCTTGGGGGTGGTATGTACTACTGTACGCGCGAAGATGGGAGTCCCTTGCGGTACTGTACAATAGTTGGAAGTTCTTCTACGACTAGCCGTGCCAGCCGAATGTGAGTGGAAAAACGTTAGGGTTAGGGTTAGGGTTAGGGTTGTGAGTGTACAAACGTTTGGTGAGACGGGATGCCAAATCGACAGATGTACAATATCTGGTTAGATGGTGGCCAGGTAGCGTGGGTCGGCGAAACCCCGGCAGCATATCGCTCCGCCCCGGCTGTGTAAGGATGCGAGGTCAATGGTCTAACCACTATTGTAAGGGCATGCAAAGCAAGAGTAACCACCCCCTCCCACAACACGTTGGACGCTGGACACCCACGCTGCGCTTGCAGGAATGGTACGCTACCCAGAACGTGTGCCCCCACAAAAGGGCGTTAGTCCTGTCGGAGGGCATCGTGGGGAGCAGGGAAGGCATTCTCAAGGTCGCCTGCCCGCTCCACAAGAACAACTTCGACCTTAAGAGGTGTGTGCGGTTTTCGCGTGTATTCCTTGCATTTCGAATGTCGCCGCGCGGGCAACTTACCACGAACAATCGGTGGACCGGCGGCAGTAGTACAAGAGTCGAGAAAAGTTTAGGGTAGACCATTATTATAGACGTTCGTGCCCGAAGTGCCGTTAGGCTACTCTTTGCCTTCCGAACCAGTTCTGCTCATCTGAACGTCGTGCTGTTGTAATTAGTCTCCCTCTTGGGCTTGATCCTTCTCTCTAGGTGGTTGGAGTACGTTGACATCAACAACAAAAAAAAATGACTGACTGCCCTTATATCCCAACCTCCATCACCGTGATGCGTGGTTCGGCGTCAGTCGCTACACTGCAAAGTTTTACTGATTACGAGTGTCCCGCTTACGCTTTCTTTTTCTTTTCAGTGGAGAGTGCCTGGACCACATGGAAGACGACAACATGAGGCTCCTGACCTTCCCCGTCAAGGTGGAGGACGGCGGAGTCTTCCTCGACCTGCCACCCACCGCTGAGCTCGACCAGGTGACCCAAGCTCCGGTGTTCAATGGTTTTTGCTGGGTTGCAAGTCACTGAGCTGAAACAAACACCTCTCGTTCTCGGTCTTGTTCTACTGTTGTACTGCTGTATTGTAAATAATAGGACGTCGACACACGCATGTTTCACGTCAGTACATGGAACCATTAATGTTAGTGTCATGCGCACATTGGCGTTTAAGAGGCCCGTGTCGTGTCGTGTGGTCTCCTGGCAACCGCTGGGTTATTCAACTCCCCTGAACGAACCAGACGACAGACGAATGCTATGTATGTGTCCTGTCGTACTTCCAACAACTGGCTGTGGATTCGGCAGAGGTTTCGATCCATTAGTGTTTTGCTTTGCTCTGAAAGAACGCCGTTCCACCCACCAACATGCAGAAATCACATCACCACAGCGGTTGGCGTGAGTATGTACCGCCTCCGCCAAGGGGTGGGTGGCTTCCTCCGTGCATGCTGCCGTGCATTCGTTTTATGCCCCTCCTCCGTCGCGCATCTCCGGCACATATATACATCCATCCTCACGCACTTACCATACCATTCTCGTGAACAATGTGATGGTCTCGTCTGGACGTCGGTGGTGGTGGTCGACGTGCCAGCTCCTGGCCACGGAGAAGGTGATGCTCAGCGCGGACTGCTTCCAGGGCTCCGAGAACAACTTCGTGCCCGTCCAGACGAACGCCTTGCCGACCGCGCCGCAAGACACGGCGGAGGTTTCGGCTTGAATAAACCTACCTGCCTGTCTGTCTGCAGGGAACCAATCTGTCGTTCAACCGCCCTCGGCCGAAAAAGGTTCTAGGAAAAATCGGCAAAGCTGTTTTCGCGAAGCGCCCGTTGCGATACTAGAGCAAAACGCTTGAGAGAGATGTCAAAAGAGGTCTCCGCCGTTTTTTTTTTTGCTATTCGTGTTAATAGCACACTTGACCGAGAAAAGTTTGCGCCACCCCGCACTTCAGTAGTACTGGTGTATATGTGTAGCTCCTTGCTTACGCTCTGGATTTTGAGGTACATCAACGGGCGAAATGATTCCGAAATGATTCTTTCATGTGTTGGGCTCTCCCTTTCTGGGAGTTGGATGTTCTTACCGCACGTCCTGTCGGAGAATGCTCATCCGCGTGAGTATGAGCGCGCGACCGACATATCAAAACATCACAATATCAAAGCGGGGAGGAATGCTGTGCTGTTGTAATGCTTTCTATTTTTCGCTGTATTTTTCCCGTCCTCATGGGCTCCGCATCCGAGTGTCAGATTATAGTCTATGCATGGCAAACCGATGAGCTTGCTTATAACTACTTTCACGGCTGGCTGTACTTGTAGGGGGGTGAATACGCAACTTACCGTGCGGTTTGGCGGGCGACTTCATGGTTGTGAACGATGTCCCTCGGTTTGGAGTTTTGGTGTGTTCGTCAGGGATAAAAGTTCGTGGTGTAGACTATCCAACCGTGTGGCGTGTCGAACGTCGGGTCTTTACTCACTCTACATCGACCTCGACTCGAGGAACGATAAGCGTCGAGTTCCATCCGGATTTGTTTTGGGATGTCCATATTTTTTGTCGGACCTGGTCCCGAAGGGGATCTCTACACCTATTTGTCCGCTATAGCCATCTTCCCGATTTCCTTGTTTTCCATATTTGATGTATAGTCTACATAGCTGGTCGTGTAGGACGTGGTTCGGGGCAGGGCGAGAGCAAGGGCGAAGTCAGGCCTCCAATGTCCACTTTCAACGTGCGTGGCGTTTGTTGGATGGAATCCCGTGCTATTGCGGGAGGAAGCGGAACCACCCGCCGGAGTAAAGACTGCTGTGTAGCACGTCGACAACCTTGATGGCTTGCGCTCGGTATTTTTGTTTTTTGTCCACATGGCGCGTCGCATACCAGACAATAGCGGGGTTGTGGTATATTCAACGCGTGCGTGAAACGTGCGTCCAGCAGTAGTATGGCAGCGGCAGAGCAATCTCGTATGTTCACATCGTAGTTAGGCACGCCCGAACAGCGTATTGTACGCGTAGCACGGAGTTCTCTTGTATACGTACGTCGTGGGAAACCATCAGGGCTGGGGGGGGTTCAACGGGGGTAGCGATTGCTGCCCGTGGGCGTAGTGGGTTGAATGGCAGGTGGGATCACGGAAAACGCAACCCGGGTGTAAGAAACAAGGCTGAACAAGACTGAACAGTTGGCTGTTTGGATGGATGTCGATGACCGTCAAATGTTGAGCGGCACTTGCGTGCCCGTCGTTCAAGTCTCTGCGCGCTTTACGCGCAAGTTTTGTGGCGGGGGGGCTGTGTCATCGCACAAGACACAAAATTAATTCTTGCTGTTCGCAATGCTGTTCGTATGTTGGAGTACCGTCGGGGCATGGAGTACGAAATACTGTACACCAGGTTCGATTTTTTTGAATCAACAGCGACCTTCAGACGAAAGAGGGACCGATTTCGCATCGTGCCTATGCATTCATATACTGTTGAGAGCGTTCTGTTTTGGATGACACAGCGTGAAGTTTTGGCATCTCGCGTCGATTTTGAAGCTCGCGGGGGGGGGAGGGGGGCAAGGGGGTTTTGATGAAACATAAGTCTTACCTAATCACTCATGTATTCTGATTCTACGTGCGTATCATTCCCCAGTCAATTGCAGGCTGGAGTCTCTGTCGCGGGTATCATGTGATGTGATGTGATGTGATGGTGTGACGCTAGAGAAAATGGGTGGTAAAAAGGGAGACTGATTTTCTCTACGCTCACGACTTCCTGGCCGTCCCCTCTTGGCAGTGATCTCGCGTGTGACAAAAATATCACTTCGCCTTTAGTACATTGTGATAGCAACTCGACGAGTATCGTCGCGTTGCCTGTCTGAAGCTTTCCAGTTTTTTAGCCGTTACTAAAGTCGAGGGCACACACCGCGACATGCTCGCCCACCGAGCACGACAAAGAGTTCTGTACACAGAGTAGATGACATAATAAGATGTCACACCCCCTGAACATTTTTTTTTAATTTTCAAAGCTCGATTATTCCACAGCAGAAAGCGTGGCGTGGCCGGGCGGCGTTGGCACCGATAGCTTTCCGAAACAAACCTATCGTTTGACATCCTCGTCGTCGTGGACTAACATTATTTGCTGTGAATATCGATGATGCGATATATTAGGTCACCTACTGCCGGTACATGCCATGCATAAGAACAAGGAGCACCCTCCATACTCCATTAAGTTTTTGTATTTATTTAGTAAATAGTTGAATTGAAGCCTCGCATTATATTGTACCCACATCCACGAAGAAGTCGTTTAATACGCTAATACTTCATAAGTGCTGCAAAAACTATCCATGGACGAACCCAGCAGTTCCGTTGTTGTTGTCTTCACAACCAATTACAATCCTGTTCGTTCTGCTCTCTCTACCCAGTACCTTCTTCGTCTGTCCGTACTATGTATGATAGTCTGACACTTGACGCGGTCGATCCCCGCCGTGGTCACAGGCTAACTTACCCAAAAAAGTTACACGAAAATAAAATTGACTAAGAAGGGTCCGCAAGTCAACGACAGGTTAGTCTAGGACCCCCCGCTAGCTTCAATACGCTATGCGAGGTAGTAGCCATAGCCTGGACAATAAAGAAAAAAAAGCAAAATAATATTAGATGCGACCTCGCGCGCACCCGAAAAAACCGTCAGTCTTCGACCGGCACACTTCTCACTACGCCCATCCATGCGCATGCACTTTTTGGTGCCGAGGGACTCCATGCTTTCAAGAATGCCGCCAATCATCTCGTTGATCTTTTTCTGTTGTTTACATACATACAGAACGCGCCACCACTTAAGAACCGCATATTTAGCTTGAGGCTCGACGCTTATTGGTTGCCTCCAACCGAGCACGCACATGTTCTGTTAGTGCACTGCCGCCCTCAGCGGTCTGTGGTGTTGAGACTGGGGACTATGTTATCCCAGGAACAGGTGATAAAAAAGGACCATGTATTGTATATATTCGTCACGCAAGCCCCTCAGGCAAGCGCCGGGAGCACACCGCCGTGTGCTCCCGGGGCCCCCGCACTTGGACCACAACCGCACACACACATGCCCTCACACCCATACCTCCAATACGCGTATCCCCCACAGAGGATGCACAGATCGGACTCATATCCAAGTACCACAAACAGCCCCCCTACTTGATACGATGTACGATCTTGCAACCCAGCACGCGCAATCAGCCAATACAGAAAAACACCCCTTGAGAAAACTTATTCAACAAAAAAACTGGCTACGCATCCAACACAAAGCGTCTCGATCATTTTATTCACGAATAATCCAAAGCGTTCGTCTCTGGAAATAATCTCAAACCGTTGACACAAGAGAATCTTCCTCAGAAAAGAACCCAACAATTATTTGTGCTACATCAGAAAGGCGTCGGAACGAAAACGGACATTTATTTCTGGAAAAAACAACTTCCAAAAGAGTTGGCACCAAATCCTCAAACAAAACAAAAACTCAACTTCTTGACCAATCAAAACGAGAATTCGGAAAGCACAACAACAACAATGGCCCCAACCATTAATCGTCAAAACATGTCAAACCCCCTCCAATACCAAACAAATCCTAAACAGCGCGCACCCGCTAATCGGTACCGTCGCCTGCTGTCCAAGAAACGATAGAAAATATAAGCAGGCATCCACGCAAACAGCCCCCCTGCTGTCAGCTCCCAAAATTCACCCCGAGCTAATATCTCGATGTCAACAGTCCCCCCTGGTTGTTTGCCGTTCACCTAAAACACAAATAGACAAGGCCAGAAAACGAACCAATTCGATTGCTGCTCACGCCCTCTAGAATCATGGTCATACATGACATCCCCCCCCATGATTTTCGATGCAAGAGCAGCAAAACATGCGATACAAACCAACAACAAACATGAAAACACGTTGTTACACACATGGCATCAAACTCCGGAAAAAGTTCGTAATTTACCGTATGAAAAATGTCTTTGCAACTGGAACTCCAAAAGCTATCCTGCTCCCTGGAACTCCAAGTACAGAAAAAAAAAATTACGCACACGCCGTGGCACACGTCTTTTCTGCATCAATGTGCACAGTGCGCTCGCAAGGGACAAACAGAACAAAAAAATTAATACGAAGCCAAATGGCGAAGCTAAAACGTCCATGCCTGCTCACAAAACCGAACAAAGTCGTGAACGTTTCACATGATTTCCCACTCGGCTGTAACAAGGTGAGGTCGTCGCTGTCACCGTGTCCTCCCCGTTCGCGGTCGACTCGAGGGCGCCACCGCTGCTGCCGCCGCTGCCATCGCCGCCGATGCCGTTCCCCTGCCGCCACGACCGTCATGAGTTCCAGCGCCAACACGGCTGCCGGTAACGTCGCTGCTGCCGCCTCTACCACCGCCGCCGTTGTCGGCGCTGCCGCCGACGGGGCTCTGACCAAAACCGCCGCTGCCGTCTTCTGCTGCCGTCGGAGCTCTGGCCGAAGCCACCACTCCCGTCGTTGCTCCTGCTGCCGCCGGTGTCGCCGCCGGAGCTCTGGCCGAAGCCGCCACTCCCGTCGCGGCTGCCGCCGCTGCCTCCGTTGCCGCCGTTGCCGCTGCCACTCCCGTTCCTGCCCCTATCGAAGGGGTACGCCACCCCTGGGACCGCCCCCCGTCTCCTCGCGCCACGCGAAGATGTCTTATCGGGGTCGAAGGGGTGCGTCGGGGCTCCACTCCAGGTTTCATCTAACCCCTCACCCCCGTTCCCATCACCGCCGCTTTCCTCGCTGCTGCTGCTGCTGCTGCTGCTGCTGCTGCAGCAGCTCACTTCCTCCTCAGCCTTTCCGGGATCAAAAGGGTGCGTCGGGGCTCCACTCCAGGTTCCATGCAACCCCTCGTCCCCGCCCCCATCGCCGCCACTGTTTTCGCCGCTGTTGCTGCAGCTGCCGCTGCTGCTGCTGCTGCTCGCGTCCCCCTCAGCCTTCCCGGGGTCGAAAGGATGCGTCGGGGCTCCACTCCAGATTTCATCCAACCCCTCGACGCCGTCCGTGCGGCCGTCTGGACACCCGACGCCAACGCGGTGACCGGGGACACCGCTGCTGCTTCTGCCGCTGCCGTTCCCCCTGTCACCGATGTCGCTACCGCCGCCGCTGCGGCCGCTGCTGCTGCTGCTGCTGCTGCGGCCGCCGCTGCTCCGGTCATCCGTCTCTCCACCATACTTCTCCTCTCCATCCACACGCACCTCGAGCGTATAAAATCCTCCAGGGTCAAAAGGGTACGACGCGCCCCTCTCGAAACCGCAGATGCCGTCGTCTCCGCCGCTGCTGCAGGTCAGGGTGCCCGGGGCCATCGCGGCGACCGGGGACGACGCCGCTGCCGCCGCTGCCGCCGCTGCCGCCGCTGCCGCCGCTGCCGCCCCCCCCGCCGCCGACGCCGGCGCCACCGCTGCTGCGTCCGTCGAGGTGCCCGGGGCCATCGCGGCGACTGGGGACGACACGAAGTCGGTGCTGCTAGTGCTGTGGGTAGACGCGGCACTATCACCAACCCACCAGTCGGTACGCCCAGACGCCGACAGCAAAGTGGGGACAGGGGCCGGCGGATACGCTACAGGGTGACGGTGTTGTCAGAAAACGTGAAGAGCATTACGATCGGGGGGGGGACCTACCGGCTCTACTGTGCCGTACGAACCGGCATGACCATCCCCCCCT